CAGTGTCAGCTATCAAGAAATCATGAAGTGGCAGAAACTGATAAGTTGGTTTCCTGCTTAATTTCAATTTCCTAAGCCATGCAATCCAACTACATTTTCCTCTTTCATGTTTCCAAGTTTGACATCTAGCCACATCATAAACACTTTTTTTTTTGGTGTGTTCAAGTCAGTGTTGACTCCTCGCAACAGCTTGGACAAGTCCCTAGAGTTTTCTTGGCAAGATTTTGGAAGTGGCCTCACCCACAGTTCTCCAAATCACACACACCATTCTCACGATGCTTCAGAAAGCCTTTGGAAAGGTTTCAGAAGCCTTCCGAAATATCATGAGTACAGCATGCGCTATTTGGAGAACAGTACAAGCAGCCTTGGCCAGCAGCTGCCTCGCATCGGGCCAGCCAGGCGTGCCTCATCAGCAGCAGGAGGAAGACGACGGTGAAGGACAGCTGGATGTGGCATGGCCTGTAGAGCACAGGGCAGCAGGGAAAGCTGGGGCTTTGTGCTGTAGCACTGGGGTGGCTGGCCATGGTGCAGGGCTTGAGGCGGCACTCCTTGGCAGTGGTGGCACTGGGACTGAAGTAGAGACCCAGGGGCAGTGGAGGCCAGCTGAAACTGAAGGCCCCAAGTCTCTACTTCAGCTCCAGTGCTGCCACTGCTAAGGAGTGACACTGTGCAGGGCAGCCAAAAGGGCAGATGTGGGGGGGGGAGTGAGAGGCAGGTGGGAGGAGCTGAAGAGGAGGCAGAGAAGGAAGTCCTTTATCTTACCAAGGCTTGGGGCTGGGAGGAACAAGTAGGGAATGGCTTGGATCAGGGTGGGTCCTTACTTAATGACCAGTGGGATTCGGCTAACAACAGCAACAGGGACTGCCGCAATTGCCATCACTAAGTGATGCAGTCGCATAACTTTGTGTTTTACACATACTTAGTGACAGAAATTCCGTTCCCAATTACCATCGTAACTCATGCACCACCTGTATATTTATTACAGATAACGTTGCTTCAATCAGTGAGACTCTAAGTCGCTCACAGCAGCAATACAATACATAATAAAACAATAATCACCAACATTGCAAAATATAATGATTATAAACAAATAAAAAATAATGCTCTAATCATAAAATCATTATGCCATAGATCATCAGAACTTAAAAACTGATATACACTCAGATATCCAGCCATGAATTCCTCCGTTGTGGAGTCCTTGGGGTTCTCTGAGCTTGGTTGTTTTCTTGCAAACGTTTCATTACCTGGCTGGGTAACATCTTCAGTGCTAGAATGGAGTAGGGTTTACTCTCTGTTTATATACAGTGGCTTGCCCTGCCAGTGTGTGTATGTGTGTGTGTTTTTCTCTGGTTGTTCCTTGAGTAGGGTATTATTTACTGCTTGATTGTATGTTTGGTGATAATCTCTGCTTATCTGGGTGATGATTGCTGGTGAGGAGATGTTCTGGTCTTTTATTTCCTTTTTATTGTGTCTTTTGAATAGTGTGTAGATGTTGTTTATCTCTATGTGCCTGTTGATGGCTGCCTTGT